TGTGTGATTGGCTCATTCTTATTTTACATATTGAAATGTTGTCTTCTTTTTTCCTTTGCCTGGAGAGCTCAACTCTTAGAAGACATCAGAGCATACAAAATGTAGAGAAAGGCTATAGATGTGAAGAATGTGACAGGTCCTTTACTTCGATGTCAAGTTTCAAATTACAGCAGGGAAGTCATACGGGAGAGAAACTCCAGAAATATGAAGAATGTGGCAAGTCCTTTCATCATGTGTCATGTCTTACAGTACATCAGCAAATGCATACTGGAGAGAAACCCTACTGATGTGAAGAATGTGTCAAGTCCTTTAGTAAATGGTCACATCTTAGAAGACATCAGGAAATACATACTGGAGAGAACCCGTATGGATGTGACAAATGTGGAAAGTCCTTTAGTCAAATACCACATCTTAGTTTGCATCAGCGAATACATACTGGAGAGAAACCCTACAGATGTGAAGAATGTGGCAAGTCCTTTAATTGTGTGTCACATCTTAGAAGACATCAGCAAACACATACTGGAGAGAAACCCTACAGATGTGAAGGATGTGGCAACTCCTTTCGTTCTGTGTCACATCTTAGATCACATCAGCGAATACATACTGGAGAGAAACCCTACAGATGTGAAGAATGTGGCAAGTACTTTAGTCAAATATCAAGTCTTAGAGTACATCAGCGAACACATACTGGAGAGAAACCCTTCAGATGTGAAGAGTGTGGCAAGTCCTTTCGTGAACAGTCACATCTTAGATTACATCAGCGAATACATACTGGAGAGAAACCCTTCAGATGTGAAAAATGTGGAAAGTCCTTTAATCAAATGTCACAGCTGAGAATACATCAGCAAACACATACTGGAGAGAAACCCTACAGATGTGAAGAATGTGACAAGTCCTTTAGTAAACGGTCACATCTTAGAAGACATCAGCGAATACATACTGGAGAGAAACCCTACGGATGTGAAGAATGTGGCAAGTCCTTTAGTCAAATAGCACATCATAGATTACATCAGCGAATACATACTGGAGAGAAACCTTACAGATGTGAAGAATGTGGAAAGTCCTTTAGTCAAATATCACATCATAGATTACATCAGCGAATACATACTGGAGAAAAACCCTACAGATGTGAAGACTGTGGCAAGTCCTTTAGTCAAAGGTCATGTCTTAGATTACATCAGCGAATACATACTGGAGAGAAACCCTACAGATGTAATGAATGTGGCTAGTCTTTCAATGAATGGTCAATTCTTAGAAGACAGCAGCAAATATGTACTGGAGAAAAACCCTGCAGATGTGAAGAATGTACCAAGGCTTTTACTCATATGTCAATATTTCAATTATATCACTGAATCCATACTGGAGAGAAACCATTCAAATGTGAAAAATGTGGCAAGTACTTTAGTCAGTGGTCAACTCTTAGAGGACATTCTCAAATACATACTTGAGAGATAACGTTACAGATATGAAGAATCTGACAAGTACTTTATTGTGAGCTCAACTTATAAGTCACATAAGAGAATTCAGATTGGAGAGAATCCCTACAAATGTGAAGAGTGTAAGAAGTCCTTTAGAAATATGCCTCATCATAGAGCACATCATGTAATTCATATTTGAGAGAAACCCTACAAAAGTGAAGCTTGTGACCAGTCCTTTAGTTGTATGTCAGATTTAATATTTCATCAGAGAATTCATACTGGAAAGTACCCATTCTGGTAAGATGAATGTGACCAACTGAGCACTCAGTACATAGAAGGTACCAGAGTATTCATACTTAAGAGAAACCTCACAAATGAAAATGTTTTGGGAAGTCCATTCCTTGTATTCCAACTCTTAGAGAATGTCAAAGAAATTATAATAAAGGGAGACACTGCAGTATAAAGAATGTGGCTCTTCCTTTAATCATGTCAAAAGGTAGCAGTTATCAAAAACTCATACTAAAGAGATAGTTTACAATTGCTCAGTATTTGGTACATCCTTTACCCTGGACTCAATCCTTAGAACACAAAATAACATCTGCACTAAAGGGATATGTCTAAAAGTCTGGAAAATTTTGAAACACTTATATGTTACAGAACTTCACAGTGTACTGAAGGAATACAGAATTAAGTACAAAACTGCAAAATTGCCAATCAAAATTTATTGATTCAAATGGGTGAGGAACTAGCAATATAAAAAAATGTGATAAAGCCTTCACTTTCCCATCCAATTGTGAATATCACTGAGAAATCAAGTTACACTTACAAAACAGCACAGTGTGTTTTTCTGTTTTTAAATTTTTTTATCATTTTTATTTTATGTGTATGCATGTATTGTCTGCATATATGTAAGTGCAACTCTGTTGTGCAATGTCCACGGATGTTATGAGAGAGTGTCTGATCCAGTGGAACTAGAGTTACAAGCAGTTGTTATCTGTCAAGTTGCCTGGGATTCGAACCCTGGTCTTCTGCAATAACGGCTAGTGTTCTTAAGTGTCAAGCCATCTCTCCAGCCCCCATAGTGTTTTTTAATGTATCATGCTACAACATCAAGCACTTCCATTTCTCTTCCCAAAATATAGCCTTTAATTTGGACAAGTGTACATTGGGGAAAAGTAGACACTCAGGCTTTTGTCACTTTTGTCATACGGTCTTTGAATAGAGACTGTTTCTATCAAACTCCAGACAGACTTATTTACCTGCAGATAATGCCAGTGCATATGGAGTTGACATCATGAATGGAGTTGCACTCAAAGTCTGACTCAGGTTAGCAATGTGTGCCTAATTTCACCCTGTAGCTATTTCAGAATCCATACTTTATATAAATAGTATTAGAATTTGTCATAATCCTCACATTGGTTCCCTGGCTTTTGAACAGAGGGTTATTGTGGTTGGAAAATCAGGATGGAAATGATCAAAGCTCCTGTATCAGAGAAAATATGAACACAAATCTCCCTGCATTCCTCGAAGGATTGTAAAGAACATTGCCACTATTCAGAATTTGAAAGATGCAGGGGGGTGGGAGATAAAAACATCTCACTTTAGGAGTCCTAGTTGGCCTGTGCAGAATATTGATGGGTGTATAACCATATATTTGTGTAAACATATTTTATATGTAATCCATGAATCTAATTGCAGCTATGGTGTAAGCGCTGGTATTCTTAGTTGAGCTAATTAACATACCAAGAGGAACTCGTGTAGTGTTAATAGTATTGCAAATGCTTTATCACCTTACATATTCACAAGGAGCACTAGAAATTTTCTTTGACATGTCAAGTCCAGCATTATTGCTTTTTCTCTTCCGTATCAACTATATATTAGTTCTGTATTCGAGTGTCTTAACATGGTTTACACGGAACCATTAGTGCCGACATCTCTATGATTTTACATGCAATGCAGCTATGAGCCACAAATGGAGATTTGCATCTTTTTAGTATGTTTCTGTTCTGTCACATTTCTGAAGGAGAATCATGAAGGCAATCTTCAGAGTGATCATAATTTTAAGCAGTGTTCATGATCATGCATTTTTCTGGAAATAGAAATGCACAGAATTGTGATTATTTACTGATTCATGAGCTCAACCATTGGTTTCAGAGACTTTGAAGGAGCATACTTGGAAAATTGAATAGAAAGATATTTGGTGTAAATACAAGTGGATAGAACAGTTCAACAGGACAAAAGATATTAAGATAATTATGTCCCATGTAAATGTTCTTTAGAAAATGAACTCAGCACAAGATTTCATTAAACAAGTGACTAGAGTTACCATTTCTTACTAATCAACTTCTACCATCACCATCCATTTCACTTTCAAAGAGCCCATGAACAAATTGGCAATAGTGACAGACATAGAAGTCATGAATAAGCTCATCAACATGGTTTTCTGTAGATCAAGACTGATGTGACAACAGCTGTAGCTTTGTGCTAAACTATACACAGCGAATTCCATCATTCAGAGACTCAAATTGGACCATTGTCTACAGAGACCAGACAGTGACACTATTATTGGTTATCTACACCATCAGAGAAATGGTGCACTCCATTGTGGTTGCTGAAATCGATACCTATTCTAGTTAATAATTTGCTTTTCCTACACATACTTCAGCCAAACTGCCATCCACGAATTTACAGATTGCCTTATGCACCATTGTGGTATTTCACACAGCATTGTATATGAAGTGTCATGGGATCTGCAGGTCTTCAGCTGTGTTTGGGTTCTGAGTTGCTATCCAGGTGCAGATCCAAGCATGACTTTTGGAGTCTGATGTACAGCTGGAGTGGAGTGTGGTTTTTGAGCTGCTATTCCAACAATTTGATCCATGTGGAAACCAGCCATGACATGTATGCCCCTATGGATGTCCCAAATACGTTGCTTATATTTTCAGTCACATGATTATGGATGTTTTGTGTTCATTCTCTTGAGAAATGTGCCAGAGCAAAATGAGAGTTTTAGCTTAGACCCTTATGAACTTGGCAGGAATATTGGGTGATGTCTTATCAGGTTTTCTGGGGGCTTCATTTCTTTCAGCAGCTCCTTCTGCTTGAGCATTTTTAAGACCCTTTTCAGGGCAATTGACTATAAATCTTCTTCAGCATTTTCCCCACCCAACTTGAAAAGAAAACATCTTCCTGCCGTCTGCAGGAAGCACAAGCCTCTCCCTTTAAAAGACACCAGATCACGACCTGAGGCAGACATTTTCCCTGCCCGGAAGGGAATCTCTCCCATGTGTTCCTTTGCTAATAAACTACTCTGATGGAGTTTAATCTGTATTCTGGTGCTTTCTCCTCTATCCGTTCATTCTCCGGCAACTTTTTACCTATCAATTATGGCAATTTTGTGCTCATTCTCTTGAGAAATGTGCCAGAGCAAAATGACAGTTTTAGCTTGGACCCTTCCTTGTGAACTTGGCAGGAATGTTGGGTGATGTCTTATAAGTTCTCTGGGGGGGGGGGTATCTTGAAGCAGCTCCTTGCGCTTGAGCATTTTTAAGACCCTTTTCAGGGCAATTGACTACAAATCTTTAGCTCCAGTAGATCCAATCTTCTGTTGTTTATTAAGAGAAACTTTGTTTTGCATCACTGATAACCTGTCCTGGAGCCTCATGCTCTGAGCCAGAAGCTCCATGGTTTCCAACCTGTCCAGGCAGAAGAGTAACTTACAACTCATCCATAACAGTAATATCTCCCGGTTCTTCTGAGAAACTCGAGCCACATTGCTTCCTGCCACAACTGGGGAACTTTTCATATTTCTGTACTTTCATCATCATAAAAATGCCTGCCACTATTTTTCAAACGATGAACACATATCTGATTACTACTATTGACTTAGTGAAGGCACATTTCCCACAACTTCTCTTTGTCCTCATAAGCTATCACCACAATGTATACAAAGTATGTAGTGTTTTTTGAAGATACATGGTTGTCTTATCTCAAAATTCACATTCTGAACAATGCTGTGATATCCTCAAGCCCTGTACATTGTGAGAAAATGAAGGACACTACGCTTTAACTCTGCAACCTCCTCCCTCTCTCTCATTCCTGGATTGACTACATGTCACTCCCTTAGAATCCATTCTCATGCCAGGGCACTCAGGTATTTTCAGCCAGGTACTCCTAAGCAATCATTTGTCCTCTCACCATACATTTATAAACACATGGAAAGATCTATTCATATTCCAGAAGCATGGTGGGACCATGCCCTCATGAATGTCATCCAACTACAATATGATTAATCTCAGGAAATGTCCCTATTGTGCATCAATAAACTTGGACGAATAATAAAAACAATGTGAAAAGAAAGAAAACAAAGATGAAAAATGAGAGAAGAAAATGTCATCTCTACATCTTTTGGAATTTCCTACAGGCACCAGCCATTTGGAAACCTAGTGAATAGAACTGCCTAATTTGAAGGTTCTGTTGATTTATTGAGATTGGTCCAAATTTCCTCTACTATCTGTGATTTGTCCTAAAAAAATGTGCAGTCTCAACTGTGTTTTATTTTTATTATTATGTTTTAGACAGGGTCTCCCATAGCCCCAGCCAGCTTGGAACCTGCTATGTAGTCCAGACTGCCCTCTATCTCACAGAGATCTGCCTCCTTACTGCTGGGATGAAAGGCATGCACCACTAAGCCTGGCAGTCCTGACTGTCATTGAGAAAAAGCCTTCAAGCTCCGTGAATTGTATTACAATTCTTTGTCTTGGAGGGTTTCTGGGCAATTTCCAAGACATCACAGGGTCAACTTCTCTGAGAGTCTTTCTCTTTTCCTTAGAGGTTTGTGTTGTGCAAAGAAGCTTCTTTTTTTAAGAGACAGCAATAATTACAGAGCTTCATAATGTCACGCAAAGATTGATGTACAGAAGCTTTGGAGTTTTATGACACTCTGTTTGCCAGTTGTATTTCCTGTCCTACTGAATCCTATTAAGGAAGTCAGTGACAGCTTATATCTGGATGTTGACACATGTTGTTGACCTTTTGCTCCAGCAGTTTCAGAGTGTCCAGTGTCATGATGAGGTCTTTTCCATTTGGCATTGAATGTTGTAGAGGGTGAGAAATACGGATCTATTTTCATTGTTTTGCACACTCGTATCTTTGCACAGTGCTAGTTGTTGAAGATCATGTTCTTTTTTCAATGTTTGTTTCTGGCACCTTTGTGAAGCAATGATGTAGCTAGAGTTGTGTGAGCTCATGTGTGGGTCCTGAATATCATTCCAAGTGTCTGTTATTAGTGTTGTAGCTAGGCCATTGGGGTTTAGTTTTCTGGTCCTGCTTCTTTGGTGTTTTTGGTCTGGTACTGGGATGGGTGTTTCATTCGTCCTCCTCCTCTTTCTCCTCTTCCTCCCCTCCTTCCTCCTTATTGTCCTATCCTCCTCTCCCCCCCTCCTCCTCCTCGTCTCCCCTCCCCATCCTCTCCTCCTCCTCCTCTTATTCCTTCTCCACCTCTTTGCCCTCTCCCTCCTGCTCCTCTGCTCCCCCCTCTTCCTTTCTTGTTTTTTTGACCCTTTTGAGAGAGAGTATCCCCAGCTGTCCTGAAATTCCCTATGTATGTCAAACTTGCTTTGATCTCACTGAT